GGACGTGATCCCAGTTGGGCGACAGGCCAGGCAGACCCAGCCGATGCAGAGCCTGGGAGCACAGGGCCCGTGGCCATCCGCAGCCAGACAGAGCTACAGGGCGGGCCAGGCCCTGCCCAGATCAAAAGCTGTGACTGGGCCAAAGAGGCAGCTTGTGGCTCTTGGGGGCCTTCCTGGAGTTTGCTCTTTGCCCCACCCTTACTGACCAGCCTGGAAGGCTAGCTGATGGACGGGGCCACTGTGGAGAGTAAAGCCACAGCCCTGGGATGTGGGGCGGTGCAGGGACGGCATGCCTGGGGGCAGCCCCGTCCCCTGCCAAGCCCCTTCCTGACACCAAGGGACACCCTCAAACCTATTCGCCAATCCTGCCCCAAGCAAGAGGATGAGAGAAACTTCTGGAAGCTTAGACACCTCCAGGTTCTGTTCTGGAGCCTGGGACCCCACTGCCTTCTCTGGGGTCTGGCCCGGCCCCAGGAGCTGCTAATTCCAAGCTTCCTAAAGATGCCTGGAGACTCCATGTCCCCTGCACACCAGCTGAGTTAGCCTGTCCTAGGCTAACCACCCCACAGGGGCCATCAGAGGATTCAAGCCAGAACCCGCTCCAGGCCTGCCCTCAGGACTGTCGCCCCAGACCAGCCTCCCACCTGCACCCACAGAAGACCGTGCCAGGCCAGCGGGTGGGGGCAGCAGCTTGGGTGCAGGGTGCAGGGTTGCTGCCTCCACCCCTGCACTCAGAGCTGACCATTGCTCTCCCCTGCAGTGCCCAGAGTGGGTCCAGCTCTGTGCTCAGAACAAACGCTGAGCACCCCCGCCACCCCCAGCAGCCTTGCAGAGCTGGAGGAAGGGTGACGGGGGGCGGGGTAGGGAGGAGCTGAGTGGAGAGGGGCTGGTGAGGCAGATCCGCTCAGCTCTTCCTCTAGTGTTGACTAGCCTGCTGGGAAGCCCCTGGCCCCACCCCACGTGGCCCTGCCCCCTGGTTAGTAGCCCCTGGGAGCCCATGGGTGTAGAGAGGGGAAGTGGGTCTGGGCAGCAGGGTCAGGGTGACACAGTATTGGGGGCCAGGGGCTCACCCATGGTGGATGTGGGGCCCACCTAACGCTGCTCTTGGGTTCTTGGAAAGGTGTGGCATGCCCTGATTACATGTTGGGCTACTGCCGTTGCAAGGTCAGCAGTTCAAACCCACCAGCCACTCCTTAGGAGAGAGAGGAGGCTGTTAGTCCCAGTAAAGATTTACAGCCCTGGGAACCCACAGGGGCACATCTGCTCTGCCCTTCAGGGTCAGAAGGAGTCAAATCCACAGTAGTGGCTTTGGTTTAGGGAGGGGGTGGGTTTATGTGACCACAGACCAGGGTGGTGGCCTACCTTCAGTACCTGGGAGATGACCCTGTGGGGAGCCCCAGGCCTGGCCTCCCCTGCACCCCATCATGGAATCTGGGCCCCCCTGTTCTTGGATGCCCGGGTGGGCAGCAGGCACGCCAAGAATGAGCAGCTGTCAGCCTGGCCCAGCCGAGCCCTCCACAGGCGCCTGGGGTCCAGCCCCTCCAGCTGCTGCAGCTTCAGAACTGCCCCCTCCCCCAGAGGCAGCAGACCACCTCCTCTCCCCACAGGGGGAGAAAATGCAGAACCCAGGGTGGCTCAGGGGCTGTCCTGTCCCCTGCGGGGAGCTCTCTGACCTCCCCTGCTGTAGTGATGATGGTCATTAGGTGTCCTGAGGGCCCCAGGAGCGCCAAGCCTGTATCTCCTTCCCTGAACTGCTGGGGGTGAGGGTGGGGGGGTGGGGTTATTTGAATCAGCCCGGCCCCAACCCTCTGCTGACCCCTGGGCCAGGCCCCTCTGACACATGGGAAGGGAGGTGGAGAGGCCAGGAAGGCATGGGGGGCGGGGGAGGGAGATGGCGCTGACCCCGCCCAGTGCCCCATTGGTGTGGGCTGTTGACCTTTGGGTCCATGGATGGGAGCGAGGGACAGAGGGTCCAGGCAGCCGGCAGGGGCGCTGGAAAAGGAAGGAGCAGTCTGAAAGCTGAGCTGGGCGGGCAGGAGCTGGCTCTCACAGCGGGGCTAATTTGAGTCATGCTGGGTCCATGGAAACTCAGGGGCCAGCCACCCTGGTCCCCACCCCCCTGATGCCCAGAGTTGGCCTCCAGCTGTCTGGGTCAGGAAAGCAGTCTTTATTACTGAGGAGTAGGGGGGGATGGGGGGGAGGGCAGGGGAAGGAAGGAGGGAGAGGCAGCCAGGTCCCCCAGCCCCAGCAGAATCTACCTGGGCCTGTGGAAAGCTGAGGGGACCTCTGGCCCAGGGGAGGTGCTGCCCCAGCAAGGTGGGGGGTGGCGTTAGAGGCCTGAAGCCTTCCTGAAGTGGGTCCCGGGTGGGCCGAAGGTGACTGGAGCATGAGGTCACTGTGTAGGGTCAGCGGCCAGGGCTGAACTCGAGGGGGCTTGTCTTTGGGGACGAGAGGGAACGGAAGATGCTCCCGGGAGTGATCACTGAAGAAGGCCTGTCTGCCTGGTGACCAGATGGCCACCAGTGAATTCTGGGGCTGCTGGCTGCGGGCCAGGGAAGGTGCTCAGGGGCCCTTGAGCTGAGAGGAAGCTGAGCTGAGCCCACGACCCACCCAGCCCGGTCCCTGGCTCAGGCACCGGACCTAAGGGCAGGGCCACTATGGTCCCCAGCCCAGCATCCACCTGGGAGTACCCTTGCTGGAGAGGGGCCCGTGAGGTGCAGAGAGGGGGTGAAGAGGGGAGTGTGGGCAAGAGCCAGCAGCTCTCTGGGCACAGAGACAGGGCCAGCCTTCTGGGGCTTAGTGTGCAGGGCACCCTGAGGGGCAGAGGCTGTGGTGGAGCCTGCAAGCCCCTCCTGCCCACAGGGGTGTTCTCTTGGACACTACCCAAGACCAAGGCGGTTCACGTGCCCACCTAGCCAGAGAGAATGTGGACAGAAATCGGCCTGGCTCCTGCAACCAGGGTGACCAAGCTGTGCAGCCAGTCCCCACCCAGCCTCAGGGCTGAGAGGACCCCATGCCCCCGGGGGCCTCCTGCTATGGGCACCGGGTTCCAGGGTGACTCCACCAACCTCTCCGGGCCTCGCAGCCTCCCAGAGTACCCAGGGCTGGCCTGCCCTACCGCAGCAGCCCCCTGGAACGCTCCAAGCCGGCCGTCCCCAGGTCTCCACGTTCGGTCAGAACTGTCCCCGGGCCTGGGGAGTTATCTCCCCTGCGAGCTTACCTGGGCCAGCAGCCCCAAGACCAGGAGCAGCGTGGTGTCCATGAGGTCAGTCTCCCAGAGCGTCCTGCTTGCCATCCACCCGAAGTGAAGTTGCTGCGCTGATTGACAGCGCAAGTGTGCCCGGGGCTGGGCGGGGGGACTCCGAGCGCACGTGGGCGGACGGGGCGGGGCCGAGTGACACCACAAGTGTACACTAGGCTGGGGCCACAGACAAACGTGCTTGTGTTTGGCCTGTGCTTGTACCCACTGCTGGCCAGGCCGCGGCTGAGTGACTCCCCAGGTGTGAACCAGCAGCGCCAAACCGGCCGCAGGGTGGGTGATCACACGTGGGCAGTGGGGCGGGGCCGGAGGCAGCACGTGGGCGGGGCAGTCGGGGATTCCCCAGTCCAGCGAGGAGGGCGCACTCCCCAGCAAGTGGGTGGGCTGCAACGGTCTCAGAGGCGGGGTCAGCCTCTGGTCCCAGGGAACAAGGCCTAAGCATCTCTTTGCGCGGGCAGGCGGCTTCTTGGCGCCGGTCCCCAGGCTCTAGCCCCAGGGGCGGAGTTTACAGGCTTGTCACCCTGGGGGACAAGAACAACGAGGACGTCTGGCCATCTTCCCAGAGCCGACAAATGAGGTCGCCTAAGTCAGGAGTCCCCCGGCCCAGGCTGGGCTTGGAGCGTCCGCGGTTTCTCCCCTAATGGGCCCCTCCCAGGCTCTCCAGAGCCCAGAGCAGCGGCCAGACCCGGGAGAAGGCGGGGCAAGCACCTGCGCAGGTGTGCACGTGTGGGGATGGGGGTGTCTGGGGCGATACCGCGTGCGGGTGTACCAGGGGCTTCACAAAGCCTGGGGAAACTCCACTATCTTTTAATTTCCATGAACTTTTTGAAGCCCCGTGTGTAAGCGTGGGCATGGTTGTATGCGTGCATGTTGGGGCACCCACCCGTGTGTGGAGTGCGCGCATAGATGAGACCCTTCACTCTGGGAAGGGAGCCACGTGGTGGCTGGGCAGATGGTGGCCCAGCGGACAGCAGTGTCGCCCAGGCGGACACTCCCTATTCTAGTTTCACTGCAGACAGATCCCAGTGGCTGGATAGCCCAGCCTCCCCACACTCGGGCCCCTTTCTGCTGGCCCCACAGGCAGTGGGCCTGCCTTAGCGTTGGCCGATTCCTGGGCCAGGTGACTGGTAGCCCTGACCTGGGCCAGGCCAGCACTGAAGAGACCCGATGGCCACTTAAAGTTGGACACACAGGTCCGAGGACCCACACGCACCCCCAACCTCGCGGTGATGGGTGGGGGTCTCATTCCATCCAGGGAGAGGGCGAGCGAGTGGCCAGCACCGGGCCATGGACAGCTGAGCAGTGTCAGGAAGGGCAAGTCAGGGCAGACGGGCCCTGAGCCCATGAGGCCACCCCCAACCCCACCTACTCCCACACTGCCCACCTGCACAGCATGAGCCCCACACCCACAATGCCCAGCCCTGCAGTCCAGTCCTTACACACTTGACTGACCCCCACACCTGACACTTTACCTGTGCAGCCAGGAACATGTGAACAGCCCCTCTGGAGCCCCTACTCACCCCTCAGCTCAGTGCCCCGTTTCAACACTGCCCCTCCACCCCAGGCAAAGCAGTCCCTTCCTCTCTGATACCCACCCCCCATACACACACACACACACTTCACTCACAGTCACAGGGTGACCTACCTACTCCTGGGAAGGTAGAGAAGGCCCTGTGGACCAGTGTTGCTTTTTGTTGGGGGTTCTGACCAGCCCTGCCCGAACCCCGGGGCATCACTGGGCCTGCCCTCCGGTGGAAAGCAGGGCCAGGGCCTCCTCTCTCTCCAGATGGCCTGGGGATGGTGCAGGTACCAGCACCACCTGTCCCTGCAGTGCCCTTGGAAGGAAGCCAGGCTATTGGGGCAAGGGGACATTCCACTCACGTCCCCCAAGTGCAGAGGGAGGGGACAAACTTTGTCTTCAGATTGAGGCCCCTGCCCCCCACCCCAATGAGGCCAGGACCCCAACGCTGAGGTGGAGCAGCCCCCTGACTACTTGAGGGTGACAGACAGGATCCATTTCATCTGCTCTCCAATACATGGAGTTGCGGAGGCTTCAGGGCTAATCCGAGGTGCCCTGAGCTGGCCTGGGAGTTGGCAACCGACAGATTCCTCCTCCGGGCCTGCCTTTCCGTCCCTGTTGTCATCCTGAAGTGGCATCCAGTGGGTTCTGACGCCCTGTGATCCCGTGCCCAACAGAATGAAGCCCTGCCCGGGCCTGCGCCGTCCTCACAGTGGTTCAGTTTGAAGCAAGTGCTGTGGCACCTCCCTGAGGACCCTTCCCTCTTCCCAAGCACGAGGTTCTTTTCCAGCAACTAGTCCTTCCTGCTAGGTGAAGTCACTCTGTGAGAGGACCCAACCCGGACACACCTGTCCTGCTTGCAGCGTCCCCTAGCTCTAAGCCTCGGGGTCCATACACAGGTCCCCCGCGAACACAGTGCAGTGTTCTGGGATTCGCATGGTCCACATTCAAATGCTTCTGCACAGTAGGTAAGATCCATCTGACATCAGCAATGCTACACATCGTTCCTTGTCCTTCTCCGGAGCAGACTTGGCAGTTCTCAGTTGATGCACCAATGCGACTGTTTTTGAGTAATCGTCAGCAAAATATTTCCTGCATATGATAGCAATGATATTGTTTGATAATCTCCACGGTCTACTGGATCACTTTTCTTTGGAATGAAATAGGGATCTCTTCCAGTAAGTTGGCCAGGTAGCCGACTTCCAAATTTCCCGGCATGAACTGGTGAGTGCTTCCAATGCTGAATCCACTTGGTGAAAGATCTCAGGAGGTACTCTACCAACTCCTGGAGCCCGCTTTTCCCCAATCCCGTCCATGCAGCTCGGACTTCTTCCTCAGCGCCATCGGTTCTTGATCACATGCTAGGCTGACTGGTGACCAACTCTTTTTGGGACAGTAGCTGTGTCTTTCTTCTGTTGCCTTTGGATGCTTCCTGTACCGTTCAGGAGTTTGCCCGTGTTGTTCTGGGAGTCGGTTCTGATTTATACCGACAACAGATTTGCTGGCCGCTGGCCATCTGCACAATTGCTGTCTAGCCCAGAGTCGTGGCCTGTGTCAGGATGCCTCACTGAGGGTCTTCCTCTTTGCAAGAACGATGTCTTTTTCCAGGGACTGGTTCCTCCAGCTAACACATCCGAAACATTCAAGACAAGCTCTCCTCATCCTCGCTTCTAAGGAGTATTCCAGCTGTATTTCCGCTAAGGTAGATTTGTTTGCTCTCCTGGAAGTCCATGGTCTATTAAAGATCCTTCACCAACATCACAATCCGACACGTCAGTTCTTCCCTGGTCTTCCTCATTCCTTGTCCAACCCTGAGGTGCATATAAGGTGGGTGAAAAAACATGGTGGGAAAAATAAAAACCAGCACCACCAAACCAGGTGCTGAGTCATGAGTCTTACAATGAAACCTCCCGTCGCTCAGCACTGTAGAGAGGCCTTTCGCAGCAGAGTTGCCTAATGCAGAAATGTTGACCTATTTCTTGACTGCTGCCGCAAGGGCTGTGACTCCAACTAAGATAAAACCCTTGACAACTTCAACCCTTTCTCCTTTTATCAGGATGTTGCTTACTGGCAGTTGTGGGGATTTTTGTTCCCTAACATTGAGGTGTGCTTCAAATCCTCTTGACTCTCAGCAACCAAGGTCGTGTCACCTGCACACTGCAGGTTGTTTATGCGCCTTCCTCCGATGCGGATGCTGCGTTCTTCCCCACACGGTCCAGCTTCCTGGATGATTTGCTTGACATACAGACTGAACGGTATGGTGAAAGGACACAACCCTGACACACACTTTCCCTGAGGTTCGACACGCAGTGTCCCCCTGCCTCTCAGACCAGGTCCAGGTTCTGCATGGACACAGCTCAGTGCTCTGGATTCCCCACCCTTCTCAGTGTTACCTCTAGTTTGTTATGATCCACACAGGCAAGCACACGTCAACAGCTCTCTGGTATTCTCTGCTTTCAGCCAAGAGCCATCTGACAGCAGCAGTGAAGTCCCTTCTTCCACGTCCTCTCCTGAATGCAGCTTGAATCTCCAACAGCTCCTGCTACAACTGTTTTAAAGTCATCTCCAGCAGTGTTCACATGTGCGCGTTATTGCTGCTGCTGCTGCTGGGCAATCCCCATGTGCCATTGGGTTCTTTCTTCGGGCACTGATATGGGTCTTCCAGTCACTGGCCAGGTGGCTGGCTGGCTTCCCAATTTCTTGGCACAGATGCGTGAGGTCACCAGTTTTGTTGAAACATCTCAATTGGTATTCCTTGTTTTTCTCCAGTGTTGGCAGTGCAGCTTGGGCATCTTCCTTCAATGCCATCAGCTCGAACATATGCCAGCTCTTGAGAGTTGAATGTGGACGCATTCTTTACCCTACAGTGACTGTGTATCCCATCTTCTCTCGACACTTCCCGCATCGTTCAATATTGTGTCCGTAGAACCCTTCAATACTGCAGCCCAAGGCTTGGAATTTTCCTTCCATTCTTTCAGCCTGAGAAATTCTGAGCATTTTTTTTTTTTTTTTTTTAGGGAAGGGGGTTTTCTAACGCTAGATCTTTATACATTTCGTTGTAACAGTGTATCTTCTAGAGTTGCTCTGACATCATCTCCTTCATTTCCTTCAGCTGTTCTGAGTCCCCCTCTGACATCACCCTGGTCTTTTCAAAGACGTTTGGCGTTTTCCACGGGTGTGGTCTTTGAGGTCACTCCAGGGATCGACCTGCCTAGTGTCTGCTGGGTGGTGTTCAATGCATCCAATCAGTTTCTGAGACGCTCTCTGAATTCAGGTGGGATCTAGTCAAGGTTGTGCATTAGCTCTTGTAATCTTCTTAGGCTTCTGCCAGGATTTGAACAGGGGCCGTCGGTGGCCTGTTCTGCAGCTGGCTTCTGGCCTGGCCCTCGCTTGTGGCATCAAGCTGCTCTTTCCGCAGATGCAGCTACTCCAAGTCCTGGGACCCACCTGCTGGGGGCTGCACGGACCATCCCTGTTTATGTTGCAAAAAGGCATTTTCATCGAAGAAGCTGTTGGTCTTGCCAAGTTCTGTCTGGATCTCCGGGGTCGCTTCTGTCACCAAAGCCACGTGTCCCAGCTAGGGCTTCTTGTCATCCCAGCGTCTGAGTCCGATCACCAGTGACGATCAGCTCATCTTGATAATGCAGCTTTGCAATGGTGTGTGTAGCCTTCCTCTAGCAAGGTGTAGGGAGCACTTTTTTTTTGGGGGGGGGGGATAACCTGGACCAGCTTATTAAGGTGACCCCCGAGAGTGAGAGGCCACTGCGGGTGGGGTTCCAGGCTGGCACCAGGAGGCAGAGGCTGATGGGAGGGGTGGGAGCTCACCTCTTTGCAGGGCCCCCCAGAAGCTGTCCATCCCCTGGCCCCAGCAGTCTCGCCTGTCCAGGACACTCCAGGTGATGAAGGGCCAGCGGGAGCCCTCGCAGTCCCGCCCTTGCCCAGGCCTCTGGGCCCAGGCCCTCCAGAGTCCTGCGCCTCCCAGATGGATGCCAAGCCAGCCGCCCTGCCTCCCACTGCAGCCTGGTGGCCCACCCACTGCTCTGCCCTCCCACTGTGTGCGTCAGAAGTGTGTATCTGTGACTGTGTGCGGTTAGTGTGTGTGTAGACGTATGACTGTGTGTGGTGTGTAACTGTGTGTGTGTGTGTGATGGGTCTGTGTGTGGGGTACAGGAGTGTGTGCATGTGATTGTGTGTGGTATGTGGGGGGGAGGGGCTGGGTCAGGAGTGTGAGTATGTAGGTAGGGCCACTCTGGGCCCAGAACAGAGATTCTGGAGGCCCTGGGAGAAGCCCAGCCCACCCCTGGCCTGAGTGGAGCCAGCCACCGTGACTGGGAAGAGCCTGGGGGGCTGCCTTGGAAGGCCCCCAGTGAAGGTCAAGGAGCAGGTTCCCTGTGAGTTGGGCCCCCAACAGCCACTGGATAGGACAGGGAGCCACGTGCAGCTTCTTGGACTCTGATTGCCCAGTCACGTGCCACTGAGCAGGGGGATGGGGCTCCTTCATCTAGACCAGCAGTTCTCAGCCTGTACGTCACGACCCCTTTGGGGGTCAAACGACCCTTTCACAGGGGTTGCTCGATTTCATAACAGTAGCAAAATTACAGTTATGAAGTAGTAATGAAAATAATTTGCTGTTTGGGGTCACTGCAACATGAGGACCCGTATTAAAGGGTCGCAGCATGAGGAAGGTTGAGAACCCCTACTCACTAGGGGTCTTGGCAGGGACCCTGTTCACCCAGCAGGTGCTGTGTGGCAGCTTAGCCAGGTGTGATAGGTACAAGGCCTGTGTCCATGGCCAGCCTAGTACCTGGGGACGGTCACCTTCCAGGGCAGATGGAGGACACCCTGGACTCCCTATTTCCAAGAAGCCCAGGAAGCAGGCAGGCTGGTGGGCTTCACTGGCGTTCTTTGGGGCTGAGGGAAGCAGGCAGGCTGGTGGGCTTCACTGGCGTTCTTTGGGGCTGAGGGAAGCAGGCAGGCTGGACTTTGGTCCGACACAGGAACAGGACCTGGGCTGACTCCCGGAGCCGCCACCAGCCCGACCTGCAGTGCAGCACAACCCGAGCCCCGGCTCTGCTCAGTGGGGAGGCCCTCCCTGGGACTCTCAGTGGCCAGGGGCAGTGGGAAAGCCACTGGGGGGAGGAGCCCGGAGAATGGGTGGGGGGTGGGGAGCACACTTCTGTCTGGTTGTGACTTTGGGGGGCCGTTACAGACTCCCTGTGCTCCCACCTCCCTCACTTTATGACCAGGAGGCTCAGGACTCACGCTAAGGTGGATGGTGGGGGTCAGGAGGTGGGTCCAAGCTTTTCTGTCTTCTTTCGGGGGGCGGCAGCGGTGCAGACCCATTCCAAGTGCAGTGGGGACGTCAGGCTGGGGGCAGTGGGGATGAGCTGCCTGCATGGAAGGCCTGTGATGGGAGACCATAGTGGGAGAGAGTGTGCATGGCCCAGGACAGTCATTGTGGTGGGCGACCTGTGTATTCAGCTCCCTGAGTCCTGCAGGTGATACAGTGGGGCTTCCCTGGAACAAAGAGAAGGGGCCACTGTGTACATCTGCAAAGGCCAGTGTGCGAGTGGCCATCAGTGGCCACATTGGACATGGGTCGGGTGGGGCCTGGGCACAGGGTGAGGGCCGGGGCATGAGGTGGGGGATATCTCTACCACCCAAGGTCAAGACCTTCTGGTGGTGGTGGGTGCAGGGCCAGCCCATGTTCCCAGGTGGGCACCCAGAGGCATGGGTCCCTCCTGCTTACGGAGTGCAGGCCTTTGCTGTTGTCGAAAGGCCTCTTTAAGGAAGGCTCTTAAAAAGTGACTGAGACAGACATGCCTAGTAGATAACAAGCAGTTGGGAGTGTGGTGTGTGTGTGTGTGTGGGTGTCCTCCACTCCCATCCTCCAGGCCCAGGACTCTGTCCCCCCTATACCCTTACAGGGACATGGCAGGCAATGTCCCCACCTCCCTCCCAAGCTGTGCCTGAAGCCATGGCCAAGGCCTCCTGCCCAGCAACTGTGACCCTGGCCTTGTCCTCCCTCCCCAACGTTTCCCTGTGAGCTCCAAGCTGAGTCTAGCCAGGGCCACTTCCTCTGTGGAAGTAAGGGTGCCCTTCCACGGGCCGCGAAGCTGTGGCCCAGTGCCACCAGCAGGGGGCAGTGTGGCTCCAGGGAAGACAGCTGAGCAAGCTGGAGAAGGGGGGCAGAACCGCCTGGCCATCCTGCTGCATGGGTTGAGCTGTGCTCCCACCCTGCACCCTGCAGAAGCAGGCCATGCCTCCCAGCGGAGGCTGCCCACCACTACCGCCCTGGACTCCTGGCCACTCTGAGGGGAGAGACCTAGCCGACCTGCAGCGGGGTTCCAGTTCTAGGCCTTCCTGACCCAAGCACTCCACTCAAAGTGGGGTCATCATGAAGAAGCTGCCTCTAGAGAGCCAGGCAGGAGCATGGCCAGGCCTCTTTCTGTCCCCCTAGCCAGTGCTCCCTGCAGCCAACTCCCGGTGCCTGTCCTGGTCAGCAGTGCAGACCCACCAGTACCACGGTGCTTAGGAGGAGGGTAGCCACCGCAGGTGCAAACAGGTCCACTTCCAGCCCCAGGCTCAGCTTTGAGGGACCGCTCCCCTTGTCAGGCCACCTGGGGTCAGGGCCCACTGCCCAGGTCCCACAGGGAGCAGGGCTGAGGCTGTGGAGCTCCAACTCCCTTGTAAAGGGAGCAGCACATGTTTGAGGATCGGGGGCTCAGGAGGCAAGGGCTCTGGAAAGGACACTGGCTGGTGAGGGGTGGTCTGGATGTGCCCCAAGACGCTGTCAGCCCAGCCTTGGCCACAGCCTCTCAATTTACATGCAGTGGGCTGGGATGTGTAAGGAGCAGGAGTCCTGAATGGCCTCTCGTTCTGTGACAGCACTGCCCAGCCCTTCCTACAGCCTTTGATGGCAGCCCCGGGCCACAGGCTGCAGAAGGGACGCAGTCCAGACAATCGGTGACTGGGGCAGAGAAGCCAGTCATAGCTGGACATCCCTGGACAGAGCCTGCAGGTGATTCAGAGGGTAGGGGACTCCTTCACACCCCACCTAAAACAGAGTTCCCATGGACGGGACTTAACGCAGGGGAGGTTTCTGACAAACTGAAAACACGCTGCCTCAAGCCATTGTGACAGGCAGCAGCTCGCGGAGACCCCTACAGGGCGAGAGAAGGCAGACCTCGAGGGTTCCCAGGCTGGACACACTGTTGGGAGCAGACAATCTCCCTCGCCTCTCTCTCCTGGGGCGGCCTTAGGCCCCAGGGAGCTCTCTGGCCCTCCCTCCCTGGTACTGGTTCCAGCCCTCCAGGACAGATGGTCAGCAGCCCCGGCTCAGACGCCTCTCCACCCCAACCTCCTGCCCCGGCCCTGCTAAGAGCTAGTTCCCACCCGAGACTGCCCTGGGGAGGTGAGCACGGCCAGCAACCCAGGGCCCCCTTCTTGGCAACTGGTGAGCTGACTTCCCCCAGCAGATCACCTTCCCTGACCCCACCTCCCCGCTGCTGCCATGCCCCCTTCCTCCCAGGGGCTGGTCCAGAGGGTCGGCAGGCCCACCCTGCCAAAAGCAGGTCCCACCCCAGGCTGCCTACTGCCCACAGCCCCTTCACTTGGCTGCCCCTTATCAATGCTGCAGGTCAGCACTGCCAGAGGTGTGGGGGTGCCCTTGCTGCCGCCCATCACAGCCCGCCCCAGTCACGGTGGGAGGCGATGGCATCAGCGATGCTGCAGCAACAGCTACGGCCTCACAGCAGGAGGTGCTGCCCACCCCCGCACCCTGAGCACCCCCAGCGGTGAGCAAGGGCCGCTCTGCTTCAGCAAAGTACCGGGAGGCATGACAGGCCAGGTCAGAGGCTGCAGGTGACAGCCCAAGTCTGATGCGGGTTGCAGCCCCACACGCCCCTCTCTGCCCACCCCAGAGGGCTGAGCGGCCCCACACGCAGCTTTCTTCTTCCAGGGTCAGGGTGCAGGTACTGCATGAAGGGCTCCTGTTGGTCCATCGAGCCCTAATGTGCACCCCCACCCCCACCACCCACCCCCTCCGAGAGGAACAGGTCCAGCCAGTGGGAACGGGAGGCTTGAGGACAGGGCACTGGGGCTAGTCCCATAGCTCGGTGGTTAGCCATGTGGAGCCAGGGCTGTCTGTCTATCCGTCCATCTGTACACTCTGAGCATCCTGGAGCCCCTCAAATGCCCACCGTCTGGGCTCCTGGGGATGCACCTGGGAAGACGCAGCAACACACCACTGTGCTGGGTACGCACACCCATGCACACAGACACACAAGCACGCACACATGTATGTGGGCCCATGCGCACACCCCATGCAGGCAGGGTCAGGGTCTTTATTCATCTTGGTGCCCCCTTGCTGCCCCAGGGCATGGCCACGTCTGTCTTCACTGTGAGCCTGTGAACGGCAGTTTAGTACACTGGCCCTCCCACCCAAGGTTGAAGGAGGGCTGCCAGGAGGCCAGGTTGGGCACTGGGCAGGGCTCAGTGCATTGGGGGTACAGTCACCAAGGGGAGTGCAGGGTTCAGGGCATTTGCAACAGGGGGAGGGGCTATGTGTAGGCACCTACTTGGGGAACATTCCCTGCATGAGGTGCTAATTTGGGGATGGCTGGAGTTAGGGTTGCTCCGTATGTGGAGTGCTGTTGGGGGCACCGAGCTGAGGGAGACTTGGTGGTTTAGTGGGGACGCGTTGGGCCGCTTACACAAGGTCAGCAGTTCAAAACCACCAGCTGCTCCAAGGGAGAAAAATGAGGCTCCCTTTCTACTCCCATAGAGGGCTGCAGTCCCAGAAGCCCCGGGCAGTTCTGTCCTGCCCCCAGGGTGGCTCTGAGTCGGCATGGGCTCTGAGGTGCCCTGGACTGAGGGTGGTGTCATGAGCGTGCTCCCTGTGTGCAGCTCCGGACTTGGGCGTGCCGGAGTTGGGGGGCAGTCTGTCCAGGGAGCACTTGAGCCGGAGGACGCTGGGTTTTGGGGCACCCGTGTGTGGGCCAGCCTGCGGTGCCTGGTATTAGGGGTGGGTCCCGCAGCGCACCCCTCACCCTGCCTGGCTCGGGAAGAAGTGGTGGAGCAGCTGCTTCTTGTTGACCTTCCCCATGGGGTTCCGTGGGATCTCCTCCACCAGCAGCAGCTCCGAGGGCACGGCATACGGGGCCAGCACCCCCCTGCAAGGACAGAGCGGTGGAGCTGGGCACCCTCAACTGCCCGCCCACAGACAGCCCCAGGCGGAGTCCTCCCCAGGGACTGGGAGCCATCCTGGAGGGACCACAGCTAGAGGTCTGGTTGCTGGGAAGAGCCCAGGGGCCGGCCCGTGGCTGTGCAGGCCAGAGCTCTCGCTCTGCAAAGATTCAAGGGCCCACAGCGGGGGGCCTGGGGACCCCGGCCCTCCACCTCCCGGGCACCCAGCCCACCTCTGCAATGGGGTGGGGTAGATGAGGCCGTATCTCAGGGCTGGTTGGGGGCTCCCCGGGGTCCTCAAGTGCACACGGTGTTGTCCGCAGCCCGAGACAGGGCGTGAGCACCCGGTGACGCACAGGCTGGGAGGCTGACGTGGGCAGGAGGCTTCCCACTCACTCGGTCACATGAGGACACGTGGTGGCAAGCCTGGCAGCCAGCCCAGCTGCTTCCCGCCCCCTGCCACCACCACCCCCACCTGCCAGGTCCCTGCAGAGCGCCTTCCAGGCATCTTTCTGGTGCTGCCCACCTTCGGTCAGAGGCACACCTTACACCAGATGTCCTCAAACTGCAGCCCGCGGGCCACTGCCGCCCGCTGAGGACATTGATCTGGTCCATCGAGTGTTTTTGTGCATAGGAATTTTTTCATAGTTTTTTTTAAAACTATAGTCCGGCCCTCCAACGGATCTGAGGGACAGTGAACTGGCGCCCTGCTTTAAAAGTTTGAGGACCCCTGCCTTACGCTGTGTTACAGGCACTGGACCAAGAACACAGCGGCCACCCCTGCCCATCACTGGGCACTGCCTACAGGAGATGGTGGACTGCCTGCTCCCGTGAGATGTGCGGTCTCAGAACCCTGAGACCTGATGGAGCGGTCGGGCACTCCCACAGGGTGTGAGGGCCAGAGTTAAAGGGAAGCTGGCTCTCCTGCTGAAGCAAACCCAGGGCGGGGGGCCAGCACCCAGCAAGAGCCGGCTTCCCAGAGGCACCTGCATCTCCCTCTCCCCAGCTCCAGGGGTGGGGCCCCCTGCTACCTGTCTGCACTTCCTGTGGAAAAGACGAGGCCAGTGCTGTCTGTCACTAGCTGAGGGAGTTGTAGGGGAGGGTTTACATCTCCAATGAGATCTCTGGTAACTAGTGACAGACTCTGGTTTTCTTCCAAGCACCCAGGGCTGAGAACCCCATCCCTATGGAGACTGCAGGCCAGACTGGTCACCCTGAGGCCTGGCTGATGGGCTCTCAACGGGAGTCTCAGCACAGGACACACCTGCCTTTTTCAGACCCCCACGCCCCCACTGAGAGCCTGCACCTGGGGGAGGGTCTTTAATTGCTCAGTGGTGTAGCCCGTGGGGGAACACGAACCCGGGCTGCTTGTAGATCACGTCCATCAAGCCTCACACACCTCAAACTTGAAAGAGGGGGACCAGGGCCAGGGGCAAGGAGACTCTTGGGGTTTAGAACGATCAAAGGGTTTGTCTGTCCTCGGGCCCTGCCTCCGAGCCTGAGCCCTGCCTCTGGCTGCCTGACCGTCAGCACTCAGAGGAACATTGGCAGTGGGGTGGGCAGGGGCAGGGTCTCCAGGTCTCATAGGGAGACAGGATGGCCTAGGGGGTGTTTAGAGCCAGGGACAGGCAAGCCCACGAGGCGGGTAGAAGAACATGACCAGGTGTGTGGGGTTTCAAACAACAGACTCCCTGGCTGACCAGAGAGACCTGTCTCTGAGCTCATGATCCTGAGACCCAAGGTCAGGCCAGAGTGGGGGTGGGGGCAACCACTGTGTCTCCCTAGAGCCAGGGGAGGACAAACCCCATCCTCCCAGCCTCTCACCTCCATGTTCAGTAGTGGACACCCATAGCCACGGCCAGCTCCACCCCCCTTACCCACAGCCT